TGCCACAAAATCCCGACTAAGATTGCAAAACATGTCCCTTGCCGTTGACCAGCAGGAAAAAGCCCTCGGCAAGACATTGCCCAGAGAAATGTCCCTCTAAAGGGTGGAGTGGTGGCTCTGTGGCTAAGGATCTGTGACTGTGGCTGGAAGGTTGCCGGTTCAAATCCCGTGGCCAGGAGAGGAATCCTGCTCTGTTGGGCCCCTGAGCAAGGCCCTTAACCCCAGCTGCTCCAAGGGCGCTGTATAAATGGCTGACCCTGCGCTCTGACCCAGAGCATCTCTCTCCCCACCTGTGTGTCTCATGGAGAGCAAGCTGGGGTCTGCGAAAAGACAAATTCCTAATGCAAGAAATTGTATATGGCTAATAAAGTGATCTTATCTCTCACGTCCCCGTCCCCCCCAGCGCGGACAGAGGCCATGCGTGAGGCGAGTGTGTCGCGCGGGACTCACAGTGCTGGTCGCAGTCGACGCGTGCGAACACGACCTGTTTGGGGTCGGGGAACTCCTCCCGCACCACATTGGAGGCCTCCTCGAAGACGGGGTGCAGCATCTGACTGAACCGGCACCTGGGACACAGCACAAGCATGCAGGGAACACAGTTACACCACCCCCCGTGTTCACAGCTAAGCGCTGTATCAAATTCAAAAACAGGTACATTCATTCAATCCCCATCTTTTTCCTCTCTCCCCTCTCCGTTGTGCTTTCCTTTTAATCCTGTTCTTCATTTCTGACATTTTGTCATTCATCTGGCTTTATTATTTCCTCTACTCCTTGCCTTTTTTACTTTCCTCTCATCTCTTCTGTCTGATCTGATGTAAACGGACACAAGAAAAGTTACAAACAAGAAGAGACCATTCAACCCATCCAGTTCATTAGGTTGTCAGTAGCTAAGTGATCCAAGGAACCCTTCCAGTCATTTCTTGAAAGTAAAAGCTTCAACAACACAGCTGGGCTGCTTCTAAATACATTTCCTTTTAGTTTACATTTGAGTCCTCAGATTTGACTGTCAATTCTGATGACGTCCACAGGGTTGACACATAGTAAATTCCTGCAGGGGTTTTGAATACTTGTCTCATGTCTCTTTGTTCAGGACTTTAATCTTGGAGGTTTTTTTCTGTTCAATAAATTATTTTAGTCTGTTTGAGGCTACTTTAGCCTTAACAAATGTAGGACATTTGTTTAAGCCTGGCAAACATACAGTTTACAGCTCTTCAAATTACACTGTATTGGATAGCTCATTCCTTTTTACCTGTGCTTGCTATTTATTGATTTCCTTTTTCATTTTTTTTAACCATTTTATAAAGTGCTTTCTTTCATCTTAGATTTTCTTGATTTACCTAATAGTTTGGGCAAATTATTTACGTAATTCTAGTGATTAATTGGTACAGGATTTCCATACTGGTTTGATAACCTGTCCCATTCTACGTCTCTTAATCTCCGTCTCATAATCTGCTTTCTTGAAATTATAAACTTTTGTTCTGCATTCTACCTGTTTCAAAGTATGCCTCAAAACATCTTATTTTATAATCAAAGCTCCCTGTTTTTTTCACCTGTTTTCTTTACTCAATATTGTTCGAAAAGATCAATGCAGATATATTCTTGTAGATGCTCCAAAGTGTTGAATAAGAAAACTGTCATAAACCATGTCTACCACATCAGTTTCAGGTGTTGACATCCTGATTGTCTTTTCCCAAACCATATGAGTAAAACTTAAACCTCCCATGATGACCACTTCCTGCTTTACATATTATACATTTGAGATTTCATTATATAAGACTGCATTCAACCAATGTCGGAACTTGGTGTTCTATAGCATACTCTTAACACTACATACTTGGAATGTTTTTATAAGTCTTGAAGACTTATAAAATACTTGATTCATTTAGTTTTAGTCTAGTTTTAAGACTTGATTCCTCTAGTTTTAATCCCTGTGCCAGACTGCTCTTTTAGATAACGCTCTAACTGTTGAATATTTTATAATATTTTGGTATTCTTCACTATCACAGTGAGCCATGTTGCTGGGATTCTAATTACATTGTAATTACCTGCTAATGCAACAACTTCAGTTTCTTGCATTTTGTTCCTCATATTCCAAGCATTTAGGTAAAAGCACCTAAATACTGGGTATTGTATTTCCATTGTTTACTCTTTTTGATGCTATACACGAGTCTACAAAGCTAAAGCCACCTTTCACTTCTTGATGAAATCAAATATAAAGGTGTTAATTATGCTTTTTGTTTGGAATGTGTTTTTTTTTGTTGTTTGCAGTTTTAAAGAAATGGAGGGTGCCTAAATACTCACCAGTCCGCATAAAAATTCACTAAAGCAACACCAGCATTGTCTGGAAAGGAAAAAAATGACACGGTCAAAGTAATGATTACAGGATTGGTCTCTCAGTGCTCGAACAGCACACTAAGAAAACGTGTTGTTATTCTGGTGGGATCTGGTGGGCAGCACTGCCCACCGACCACAGACCAGGAAGTCTCATTCTGCTCGTTCTTTAGTCCTGCTATCCATGAATACTCTTTTATCTGACAAACTCCATATAGCCACCAGCCATGTCACCCTGCAACTTACAACCGGCAGCCCACTGAAGCTCAGCAGGTGTGAGCCTGGTCTGTACCTGCATGGGGGAGCTCCTGGGAAAAACTAAGGTTGCTGCAGGAAGAGGTGTTAGTGGGACAAGTAGGGGACGCTCATCTTGCAGTCTGTGTGGGTCCTAAAGTTCCAGTAGAGTGACTACTGGGGAATTACTATACTGCAAAAAGCGCCACCCCTCAGCAGAGACGTAAAACCAAGGTCCTGACTCTATGCGGTCGTTGAAAATCCCAGGGTGTTTCTCGAAAAGAGTAGTGGTGTAACCCTGGTCTCCTGTCCAAATTTCCCATAGTCAGGTGGTGATGGAAGCACCATCACCACCTGAGCCACTCAGGAACCCTCTTCCCTGAATAAATTAACAGCCACCTGTGATGTCTGACGGGAAACGCATATTCAACTCCTCATCCTGTAACACTCTTCCTTCACGTCAGCCAGTGCTGTTTCGATCTATGATCTCCAGGAGCTACGTGTGCAGTTCATTCACATTAAAAAAATACGATTCCCACCAATCTTACTGCTTTTGTGTGGTTCTTCGTCCTAAATGTCATTCGGTTTTACAAAATATTTTTCATTGACCAGTGACCGACATTGCTGGTAATGGAGTGTGTGATCACTTCTGCCTTGCAGAACAGTACTGTAACGTGACAAATAGTTGACAATATGTCCCCATACAAAACAAAAAGAAAAACCTGAAGGATTTCAAAGGTCTTTTTTATAGCTGGGGTTTCTGCACACCTCCATCTTATATCAGGCAAGTAACACCAGTGTTATGCAGAACAGCAACGATGCATTTTAACTTCTCCGCAGGCCCATTTCACAGCACGGAATTCTGGGTCCTGCAGGAGGCTGGAGGAAAAGCACTCCACAGGCGATCAATGGCGAAATGGTCTGCTCTGAACCTCATGCATACCAGAGCTATACTTACTTAAGGTTTCGTCAATATTTCCGCTATCAAGAGTTGTTATTTCACTTCTCACAGGAGTATAGAGCCACGTTACCTGGAAACAAAAAGAAAACAGCATGCCATTAACTTTGCTCAGACGGAAAACACAACACAGTGTCCTCATGCGCTGCTCTTTGTATTTGAAAAGCATTTTGTTTGTCGCACGCACACACACACACCAGGTAGTGGACAGGGCCACTGTGCATAAACAATACTTGAGAGAGTTTTGGGGATTGTCGGAGGCACAGCTTGTGATACAATGGAATGGCCATATCTACCCCTCCAGACAACTCTAAACTGTTTGCTGGATTCCAGAGTAAAATACACACATCAATCATACCCTAAAGGACACAGGGTAGAGGAAAAATATACTTTCGCGCCTCTTAAGGTAGGATGACGTTATGTAGCTGAGATTCTACTAAAGATATTAAATCTGGCCGAAGAACTAGGCTTAACATTTTGCAAAGAGGACAGAATGGCAATTCTATCATTCACAGTGTGGAGAGGAATTGTTTGCATTAAAATGTCATATACATGTCAGCACCAGGACACTGGTTTAGAATTCCTGCTCTAGAGGGAACAGTTCCACTTTCTGGTCCACTAATACCACACCAGAGAGCATCCTGTCACACACTAATGTACATTTCCTAATCAGACACAAGGGTATTACTGAGACCCTCTAGCCTCACTACAGCTTGATTCTCACTTAAACGATGGTAACTGCAGAAAACCTAACACCATGGTTTTGAATAATTCTAAAATAATTCCCTTTTTTAGCATAGGTTTATCTGTATTTTTTAAATCCCTGTTCATCATTCTTCAGTTAAAACAAGTCCCATAGTTACTCTTTGGTCCAGAGTTCATCCTGATTTCGGGGGGGGGGTAGTTTATAAGAGTGTGTGACCTCCCTCCCCCTGGACAGGACGCCAGTCCATCACAGGCTTGACCTCTGTAATGCTGGTCTCCACATATACAGCAGATGAACTGGAGCAAGGATGCCACAGCAGTGTCTACAGTGGGGACTCAAACCCGCAACCTATCAGTCATGAGTCTTTCAATGTCCTAGGCCCTGACATTCTTTCACTGCTACAGGATTATCTCCACCTGTTAAAAATCACAGATTGACACGAACATTCAAAATCCGGTAGCTCTTTATCATTACACAACTCTCATTATTGTTAACAATAACAAATATTGCTCTCCATAACAAAGTCAAGAAATGTAATATGGACAAAACCCACCAATCTGTTTTCCCGACAATGACAGGAAACTGGAGCATCTGGAGAAAAAAGCCATGGGATCACGGGAGAACGTACAAACTCCACACAGACAGCACCCCAGGACTGAAATTGAACCCAGGACCCCAGGACTGCGAAGGAGCAGCTGTTAACTGCTGCACCGCAGTGTTGCCCGGTAACATTTCAATTATACTCAAAACTGACAGACAATATGCCGACGCAGCTTTTCGATTGAGAATCGTACCGTGCTAGTTTGGCTCTGAACTGAGCTCGCAGTAAGAGGAGCAGGGATCTGCTGGGAATCACATCTCGAAGAACAACCTCCCCCCCCCCGCCTCCCCTCATAGCTCAGGGCAGGGGCTGGCGCGGGATCAACTTTCAAACCCCATTCTCAAGCACAATCTGTGACCTCATCTCCTCCGAGCAGTATTCTTCCAAAACTCTTCCCCTAACTAGCAGTAAAATCGCAATGATAGCATTGCATAGAAAGGGATTCCTCTGCTGCACTGCTCATGGAGCTAAACCTCTTAGTCTGGCTCCTAACCCAGAGCGCCATGCAGCAGCAACACACACCTGGAGCTCTCCGGCTCCTGTCCGCCCGCCCTGTCCCCTCCTCCGCCCCCTCTCTCGCGACAGGAGGGGAGGAGAGCGGGGCTGTGCCCCTGGGGGGCTGCACAGGCAGCAGTAACAGCCCCTGAAGTCTCCTTTGAAAGCTGCCAATCAGGGGCTCTCTGAGGGCCTGACAGTCCCCAATGTGCAGTAATGAACCGCAGGCACCGAAAAACAAGCCGCTCTGCACTCTAAACATAGACCAGGGAGAATAAGGCGGCGTTACCACAAGGCCTCTCTCTCCTAACGCGGGGAATAGGAGCCGATACGCGAGTGAGAAACACCGGTTCCTGGAAAAACACAACGCTGAACCTGACAAACACTTTGAAGAGGGAGGGAACGAGAGGCATTGCGCACAAGAGATTTTTCTGGCTTGCTTTTTAAAAAGTAACCGCTCAAAGCAATTTAATGTTTTTTGGGGGCATTTGTATAATGGAAAACGTGCCAGGGAAGCACGAGGCGTACAGTTCTTTGAAAAAAAAAAAGTCTTTGCTCCCTTTCAGATATTCTAAATTATTATGGATTTGCACCCTTGAATGTTACCAGAGCTTCATGTCTGAGTGGACTAATAACACCAAAGTTTGGCGCTTCTTTCTTTTATTCCATAAGGAGTCCTCCAACATTCAATGCCCCAGTATGAAAAAGTTAACGCCCCCTTAGGCTCAGTAACTGGTTGCACCGCCTTTAGCTACAACAACTGCGACCAAACCCACTTCCTGTAAGTAGTCACCAGTCTCTCTCACTGCTGTGTAAGAATTCTGGCCCATTCCTTCAGGACTAACTTGGAGGGGTTTTCAACACCAACTGCTTGTTACAGGTCCTGCCACGAAATTTCTATGGGGTTTATTTCTGGACATGGACTTGGCCATCCTACAAAAAGAAAGGGGGATGAATACTTTTTCACAGAACGGTGTATAAATTAAATTCCGGAGGCCTTCCTTAGTTTTTTACCTTATCTGGAGCAAATGGGGCCCTTGGATGTCCCAGGCACCCTGCATTTGCAATATCAAATACACCCATGAAGTGCAACCTACAGAAAGTGCCCGTTACGCAAAACATAATTAACATTTTTTGCATTTGAAAAATATCTGGCTGTTACCTAGGAAACCTGCTATTAGAACTGCATGAGGGACTTTCTTTTCTTGCCAGTCCAAATTGCTCTGCATTTTTCAACCCTAAACCTTTAATGACTAAAAACAACAGCATCTTACAAAAACCACAACCAGCAGGAGCAGGAACAGAGCCAGTCTTGGGCCACGGACGATACCCTGCAGTTCAGGAACGCCAAGTGGCTCCTGGTTTCCCCTCAGCGCTTGGGAAACCGAGCTGGGCAAAGGGCCACAACTTAGGACAGTCTCACCACACACCGTGCTCCAGCCCAGTCCTGCCTGCTGGAGAAGCCCTCACCCTTGCCAAATACCTCACTGCAGGAGCTCACAAGAACCCCACTGGGCCCTCTGTACTCCCAGCATTTCCACTAACTGGGCTGCCCAGACCAGTGCACGGGCCTCAACTCCTGACCGGTCGAAACTAGCTGGGCCTGGTCGAACACACCTCAAAGTTCATCTCCAATAAGCCGGCACTGTTCATTTGCTGATCGTGAAACGATCTTAACCATGATCTTCACCGGTGCGCTTTTTTAAAACGAGTCAACTGCACACTTCAAAGCTCAGGGGATTCACAGCTGAAAGGTGGCTGTGGCAAGAGATCTCACTTCTGCGTTCACTGCTGTTGCCCCCACTCCACTCCACAGTCAGAGCAGTGTCGCACATCGCAGTGCCCTGCAGTCCTGTTTGTAACACACTTTCCTCCATTACAACTCCATGACTGTCATCACAGACGCCGCTGGAACAGCCAGCCTCAGGGACAGAAACATGACTCCCAGTGCAAACTCGATTTTAGGGATATCAAATAATAAACTTACATGAAAAAATGATATTATTTAATATTCGGTGGCATGGGGAAGCCGTGGTTATCATTACTGCCTTACAGCACCAGGGCCCTGGGTTCAGTTCTGGACCCGGGCTGCTATCTGTGTGGAGTTTGCATGTTCCCCCCACGTGTGGATGGATTGCCCCCAGGTACTCCAGTTTCCACCTACAGTTCGAAGCATACTGCTAGGTTAATTGGCTTCTGGGAGAATTGTCCCAGGTGCGATGGACTGGCATCCCATCCAGGGCGTACCCTGCCTTGCACCTCTTGTTTGCTCAGAGAGGCACCATCTCCCCTGCTGGTCTTTGTTAGACAAAGCAGTTAGAAATGATTAACAAATAATACTATTTATTAAATAATACAAATTTAAAAAATCAGTAATAGCTGCAAGATACTTCAAGATTGTTCTTTGTTTTGGGAATGCCATGTGGAGTTCTTCTTTTTCCTTCACCTTTCGCAGCGCTGCCAACATCGCTACTTTCAAACAATGGCTGGATGGCATCCTTGGACTAGCAACAGCTGCTTTGGGACAAGACTCGGCGTGAGGAAGAATCGGCAACACTGAATCGCCAACACCTCAGTGCAGGATGTGCTGTACATCACGACAATGACTCCAAATGAAGGCTTATGAACCAGAGGATATGATCTTCTTGGAGAATGAATGGCACAGAGAAGCCTCGAGCTAAATGCCTTGTAATCGTGTCAGAACAAAATCCAAAAGCGCCCAGAGGTAAGCCGGGGGTCGATACAGCAAAAATTATTCATTCATCAGAGTGCACTGGACTGATCGACGCAGTTAAGCAAACAAAATATTGCTCCAAGCTCTGATCTGAGGCCCACACACTCCTAGCTTGCCTAGCTAATTGGAGATTGATTCGAGGACATTAGGGGTGGCTTAATTCCTTCTGTCAAGCCCTCCGCTCTCTCAGATCACACACTCACACTGCTCACCACTCTCTCCCCAATTAAAGCACTGTTCGCGCAAGGCCGCGCTTCCCGAACGGCAGCCAGCAGGCTTTGCGCTCTGTGCCTTACTGCAGGGCTTCCCGAACAGAGTGGCCAGGCTAGATGACAACGCCACCTTGTAAAAACCGTTAACCAGAAGACCGCGATTCCCGTTCGTCCCAGGAAATGAAATACCAGGGCGGCAAGAAAGTGGAGGGAGTCATACAGGCCTGCGCGCTCCCACACCAGCAGCTCAAACTGTGTATCGCCAAGACGGGCACTGCACCTTCAGGCAGGTGTGACTGACGGCACCTTATGACCCAGAGCTAGT